ATTTTACTTTAATAATCTTTATAAATTACTTTTTAAATTTAATTAAATTACCTAATTAATAAAAAAATTTAACGTATTTCTTATTTTTCGCATTAATTATTATGAAAAAAAATTTTAATCTTAGTTCTTATGATACATGTTAAAATTGTAATAAATATATTTTTTTATCATAAATTTATATTAGAAGAATAAATGTTGATATTTAATTTATTAATTATTTAATTAAATTCATCACCATAATAATAACATTAAAATTAATATTACTTTTTACATTCTTCTATATAAATTAATGACAAAAAGGTGTACCTAAGAGTAAAAATTAAAATATTTTGACAATTTAAATGTTCAAACTTCCTTTAAAATTATTTAAATACCATTAATGAACATTTTTTATTCACTAAAGATACTTTAATCTTTTCATTATTATTTTTGATATTTTAATTGCATTTCAAAATTGTTTAAGAGACAATTAAAATGTCAAAAATGAAAATGAAAATATTAAACTATTTTAGTAAATCAACACAAAAAAAATATTTATTAAGGATATTTAAATAATTTTTTACAATGAATTTTAACATTTAAAGTGTTAAGACAACTTGATTTATGTCCTAAAAGACACATTTTTGTCATTAATTTATATTGAAAAATGTAAAAACTAACATTAATTTTAATATCATTGATATGTTAATAAATTTAATTAGATAGTTGATAAATTAAAAATCAATATTTATTCTTTTAATATAAATTAATGGTAACAAATGTATTTATTATACTTTTAATATGTATTATAGGAGTAGAAGTTGGAAAAACCCTTTTATAACACTTCCTCAGTTCATTTTTTGTAGATTTAATTTTTTTGTCTAATAAAATAGAGATGTAATAATTTATTGATAAAATTTCATATTCATTTTTCATTAAATACTATTTAAACAAGACTTCTTATTTAATAATGTTCTAGTTATTTTTTCAAAATGAGGGTAAAATAAGAATAAACAAATTAAATAACATCTTAAAAATGAAAAGTGATAATTAAATTTGAACACACTAAATATGTAACTAGATCTACTAAATTTGAATGAGGAGGAAATTAATAAAAAAAAAATAAGAAACATATTAAAAAATTCTTTATTAATCA